CTTACAGTTTCAGAGATTTATTTCATTATCATGATGATGGGACATGGTGGCATGCAGGCAGACAGGGTACTAAAAAGGTAACTGAGAATTCCCCATCTTACACAGGCAACGTGAAGTAAATTGAGACACTGGGTGGTATCTTGAGCATATTTGGGACCTTAAAGCCCACCTCCACAGTGACACACATGCTCCAAGAAGGTCATACCTACTCCAACAAAGCCACACCTCCTAATAGTGCCACTCTGTATGAGCTCATAAGGGCCAATTACACTCAAACTATCACAACATGCTACCTGATACAGTATCAATACCATTGATGGTGACTATAATAATGTGTATCTGAATGATTAATGCATTCCATGAAGAATTATCTAGTTTAATCATCACAACTAAAGTCAGAGGATCTCAGAGACCACCCAGGATCCTAGACCTTTATGCTGTAGAACCCATTGTCATGGTCACAGGTACTTCCAGTTGAGGTTTGACATAATTATCCCTCCTTGTGCACGAGGGATTGGATTACGCCAAGAACTTTTATCCATAATTTTACTGTGTTTGAATATGTTTATAATAAACTGCCTGGTGTCAGAGTCTAGGAGTTTCAACCAGTCGTGAATAAGTAAGGTTGGACTGAATTTTCCCTTTTTCCTCTCTTGGTATGTTTCCTCTGATGCTTTCAGGGACTCCCACAGCTGTCTAGTATCCCACTTAACATTGGTTAGAGAATGATCAAAGAGTCTGCATCATGGCCCTAACTTTTCACATAATTGCCTTCATTATTCTGCAAGATCATGTTTGTGCTGCAGCTGTTTCACCTTAACAATGCTGATACTAGAAATGGGATGTCTTATGTTCTGGGGAGATGGCTCCATGCCTGAACTGCTTGCTATGCAGACACGAGGACCAGAGTTCAGGTCCTCAGTACCCACATACAAGCAAAGTGTGCTAGGGGACAGAGACAGGAGGATCCCCAGGGCCTGCTGAGCAGCCAATATTGCCAAAACAGATAGCTCCTGTTTCAGTGAACGAAACAAAGAAACCTAGTGCCAATATGAGACATGCTGTTGTGGGATATTCCAGCACACTGTGTGAAGATGTGTGTCTGTACTTCCCTGCCTGTCTAAGGGATCTTCTTATTGGTTTAATGAGGAGCTGAACAGGCTAGGTGGGACTTCTGAGGGAGAGATGGGAACTTTGGGAAGGAATCTGAGGCAAGAGATTCTCCAGCAAGAGGCCGAGGAAGCCAGATGTATGGTGTAGAGGAGAGGCAAAGAGTCATGTGGCAGAATGCAGATTAAAATTTAAGTTGCAAGAGCAAGTTGGGAATTAGCCTAAGATAAGGCCAAACTCTCCTAATTAATAAGAAGTCTCTATGTCATTGTTTAGGAGCTGGTGGTCCAAAGAAAGACTGGCTACATTTGGCATCCAGCATCAGGCACATATAATCTAAGCAGAGGGCCTGAGAACTCCAGAAAGGTTCTGGACATGGTACTTCCCGGCAAGCACAGTCTCTCAGACAGTCCCAGCGCTCACAGTGCACAGAGCCAAGGCTCCTTTGAGAGGCCCGTTGTGCAGCCCAGCTCTTTCTTGATGAGCTAGCCTGTTGCTCAGTAGCAGAAGCTCCTGCCTGCTGCAGCACAGGCTCAGCAACTCCCCAGAGCTGGGCAGGTAGGCATGCCTGGCGGGAGGCCCCTGAGGCATGGTGCACAGACATGGCACTTTCCCTGGCCAGCTTGTAAATCCTCACTGATTATGACTGCCCCATTCTGTCCTGTCAGATGGCACATCACCTGGCTTGGCACATGCTGCAGGTAAGCAGAGAGCCAGGTTCAGACCAAGAAAACCTCTGAATAAGCACAGTATGCTTGAAAATGTGCTCAGACGTGGAAGAAAAAAAGAAAATGGGTATAGATAGTCATAGAAAAAAATAAGTAGTTTAAAAATAATGAATCTTTAAAGAATGAGTAAAGTAATATATAAAGAATAAGTCACATAAGGATGGAAATACCATAACATAAGCTGTCTGGATCCTATATAGTGCTTTATTAACTTTAGAAAATTTAAATACTAATGAGCAAAAAGCAACAGCTGCTGAGGGACATTGGATTGTGGGGGAAATTTTTCTAAATTAAACCAGCATTTGTATATTAAGGATGTCTTAACATCAGAATGGAAGATCAGAAATGTGTTGCATTGGGGGAGAGGCTATGCCTTTGTTTCCACAGGAAATGAAAAGCTATGGATTTCTTCAAAATTAATAAAGATCACATCTGACTGGGGAGGCCTCCTGAAAATCTTAGCTGCAGACTTAAAGGAAGAAGCCAAGAAAAACTACAAGACAGGGCATGTATATGCTGATCCCTCTACATGGGAACAGTTCTGAGACTGGATGAGGCAGGATAAATCTTGTTGGCTACAGAGTCCTCATTACTTATTATTACATGTCATCCATTCATATGATATGGCTGGAGACCTAAAATAAAGTTTGGTTATGCAGTCCAAACAGACTTATAAAGTTGGCATATGCCTTTTACCTGGTCAAATTATCTTTAGCAGACTTGTGCACACTGCACGTTCCCTATGTTAATGCAGACATGCATGTTACTCCTAAAAGGTTGTGTGTTTTCAGCAAAAAAGGCCCAGACACCAATGAAGACAAATAGCCCAGGTGATCCAGCCTCACAGAATTTTGTATCCAGAACAACTTCAAAGCAATTATTTGAGATGGTCCAGCTTCAGAAATTACTGTAATCAGTTTATCCCTGCAATTTCACACCAAACAGAGAGTGAACAAAAATGATACAGCTAGTTCTCCAACAATTTGAACATTATTCCAATTTTCTCAGGGTCCTCTAAAGATGCCATTGTCCCCAGAGAGAAAGGATTAATTTTAAGAACATGATGCTCACATTCCCAAGAATTGGGGTGGGTGTTTTCTGATCATTTGGTGGGTTATGGATATTTGTCCTCCCCTGCTTGCTAACTCTCAGAGTGCCCAAAGGCGTTCTGCAGGCTACAGGGGGAGAAAAGCCATCTGACCCAGCTGTGAACTGTACAAGCTACAGTAATGATCGGCAAGATCTGACTATTGGCAAAATAGTGGCATGGATGCTAGGAAGGAAAGCAGCAGATGTTTAGTTGGATTTACAGCTTTCATCATAAGTGGAAACTCATGCCTGGTACTGTAAGTGCAGCCAAGAACCTATAGCTCCGGTGATCATAGACCCTAGGGAGAACCCATTGCTATTATTTCACTAAGGGGACAAAGCATCAAACTGTCTTCTAAATACTTACCTTTATACTCATATTTGCATTTTCTCCCCTTGTCAGAGGAGGTAACACAGAGACTCACAGCTGGTTAAAATACAGAGAATATGTGACTGTGGGGTACTGATTCCTAAATGGGACAGGTGGCAGAAAGATCATAAGAGCCAGAGGGATGATTGCTACAAAATGACATCTTCTGCACGTGATAGAGTCATTGCATTCACCGAACTTACAGCAGTATTGGTTGCCTGTGTAAGACCTACACAAGATTAAACCAGTCAAACAAAGAATAAAGGAGATCATAAGGCCTAGACAAGGAGTTGTTAACAGTTGATGGTTCCTGGGGGAGCGACAGTAGGTTCTTTTCAGTGTTGTGGTCCAGAGTAGGTTGCTCAGTGGATAGTGTCTCATACCCATGAACATGTGGGCAGCAGTAATTCAGCTTATTGGAATATGGGAGGGAGGGAAGGAGGAAGGGAAATGAGAGGGAAAGAAAAAGAGTTTATCCTGGGGATTATGCAGGAGTAGGTGGAGGGGACCTAGGAGACTATATGACCTAATTACACTGTATGCATGTGTGAAATTATCAAAGAATAAATTTAAAAAGCTTGGTAGAGAAATGAACATATACTCCACAAGCACCTATATGGACAAGCACACCCACATGTGTTCACATACATGTACACAAGGAATAAATAAATAAAATAAAAATAGAAATAAGTTGTCTGTGGCTTATGGAGCATTTAACTTAACCATGCCCAAGGCATCACAGAAGCCGTAAGCACTGGAGTAGCAGTCCTTCCTTGATGTCTTAAGAGGAAAAGATCTTTTGCTGAGCCAGTCTGTCCATCACCAATCAACTGTGCCGAGCGCACTTTGCCTGTGAACAACTGTGACCAGATGTATCACTGCATACATGCATTAAAGGGGAAAGAAATGGAGAAACTAAACGTTCACACTTAATTTCAACGCTTAGCAGCACCTCATAAGTCTGCAATAATCTAAACTACGTTGGAGGATTGTATTCAAGTTAAAACTGGAACCAGTGCCAGCTCATGCTAGTTTTTCATTGACAATGTTCTGATGGAGAATTCACTCAGTGTTTACAACACAAGAGAACAATAGATGATAAAGATAGCATGATATTTTTACATTCTCAATTCAGTCCAAACACAAAAGACAAAAAGATGGAAAAATGGGTGCCACTTAGAGCACTTGTATTTGGCTCCCCTACTTTAGGCTAGATGAATGGACGAGGAATGAAGATACATGACCATGTGTGGCCCTAAGGCTAGAATTAGATTCCAGCTTACTACTGGGTTGAATCAGAACCAAGGTTGAAAGTGGCTTTTAAGAGGCAGGCAGGCAGGCAGGCAGGCAGGCAGGCAGGCACGCACGCACGCACGCACGCACGCACGCACGCACACACACTTAGCTAGATATATTTAATTTGCTTTAGTTAAATTGATCACATTTTGCTACAGACATTTTCCCATTTCTATTTTCTATTTCCCCTCAAAATTCATGGCCCTAAGTTTGACAGACTAGATTTAAAATGGCTTTCCTTACAAATAAAGGTTTTGAGAATTTGTCCATAGGGAAGGAATAAAACATGCAATACGGAATTAATTAGCTACATTACCCCTCATGGTACTGTATTTAATCAGAGGAAGTGATCTTTATGCTCTATGTATCCATTGTCTGTTTCAATCACAGAGTGATTAGCTACTCACCACAAATGAATAGTAAATTTTGAATCCAGGTTTTGCCACAAAATAGTCATCGGATTTGAATGTGATTTTGATCTGGTTTGTTCTTGATGTTATCCTTGGAGGGATTTCCTTGTGGCCACACCATCTTCCTCTAACCACAGTGCTGGTTTCAGAGACATCTTCAACTTCCACAAAATCATACCTAGACACAACGTGATTCCATGAATGTTTTCACTAAAATTTCTTTCAGTTGCTGACACAACAAGACTCACACATGATTTCTTAGGACTTACCAACTTACTGAAAATGACAACCCAACAACTAATTTTGGGAATGTTTAGCAAACTTGGAATTCAACAGCCTACTCAGAGAGAACCCTGATTTACTCCATTATGACAGTTGTAATGTCCTATATAATTAAAAACAACTTTCAGAACTTGAAAATTAGAATGTTTTCTGGGAACAAATAAGTACCTGCAATCTGTTAACATATTTTAGAGGTAGGATGAGACACATATTCAAATATACACCCCCTCAACACTTCCTTGAGAAGTACATGACTGATATCTCCATAGGTCAAGGAGACTCTCGTTTTTTAAAATGTCTTTTAGGAAGACTATGATAACATATGACAATTTTCTTTAAGAAAGGAAAATCATCTAATGTTAAGTGTCTATGTGTGTTAATCAGTAACCGCTGGCTGCTTACAAGGGAGTGAATGACTTCTACATTACAAAGGATTACTCTTAGCACTAGTCACAGAAACACAGAATCCCAGGACTATAAAGGACAACACAGGCCCACTAACTATTCTGCTGGCTGCTTACAAGGGAGTGAATGAGTTCTATATTAACAAAGGATCACTCTTAGCACGAGTCACAGAAACACAGAATCCCAGGACTACAGGGACAGCACAGACCCACTAACTATCCTGCATACCCATTTCTACAAGGACAGCACGGGGCCACTAACTATTGTGTGTACCCATTTCTACAAGGACAGCACGGGGCCACTAACTATTCTGCGTACCCATTTCTACAAGGACAGCACAGGCCCACTAACTATCCTGCGTACCCATTTCATCCTTGTAGTTCCTCCACCCATCCCAGATTGTGCTCCTATGTGGCAAACCCACATCCTCTATGGAGCATTTATTCTATTCTAAGAGCCCTCAGGTCTTGTCCCATTCTGCAAGATCCATTAAACGACCTGTCTTCCATATGGTCAAGGCTCTCACTCCTTATCTCTACCTTCCCCCAGTGACTTTAGGTGCTAAAGTCATAAGCAAGTGACAAGCACTCCAGTGTACAGAGGCAGAAGTCTCATGTCTGTCTTCTTATTTATTTATTCATTTATCTTCCCAGTAGGATTACTAGAAGGACGAGCATAAGAAACCTTAGGTTCCAATATTCAGAAAGAGCAGCTGGAATTATTTTGCCTTCACTCAGGCTTCGCAGGGTTTTCACTGCATTGCGAAGGGCGATCTAAAGAGCAGCTGAAAATCTTGATGCTGACTAAATATTCCTCACAGTGACTTGTGCAGCTCTTGCGTCCTTTGCCTCAGTTTCTCTCCAGGCAAAATAGGAAGTTTATGTAATTTTGCGAGCTACATATCTCCTGAGTGCTATGTAGATTAATTATTTAATGTTTATATGGTTCTTGGAAGGCGAAAAGTCTGAGAAAGAATCATTATTCAAGCAAAAAGGTATTGCAATGTACACAGCAGCGAGGTTTGCTGGCAGATGGTAAGAAATCAATTGCATTTTATTTTATATATAATACATGTAAATCATATTTACTGCAAAACATGAATCTACTTGAAAGATTTTTCATAACACTAGGTCACTTTTATTTTTAAAAAACTTCAATGTATTTTAAGCTGAGTCCCAGTGGAGTACACATAACAGGCCAGGGAGACTGTGGGGCAGGCTGTGTCTCATCTCCCTCATCCTCCTATCATTCTATCTTGTCCTGGGAAATTTGAGAAGCCACCTGAACTGATGAAAGGTCAGAAAATGTGCCACCCTAACACTTGTTCAGCTATTGTCTAGGATCAAAATCCCAGTTCATCTGTAAGGAGAAAAGGGACTCCGAGGTTTCCAAGTGATAGAATGAGGAGAGCATCTGTGGTTTGCAGCACTTTATGCTCATGGTGGGACTACTGATGACACCAATGGCACCTGAGATTTTTGTGACTGTGTTAACAATTCAGCAATGCCAAGGAGGGGTTGCGATGCGCTGGTTCAGTGGGTGGGGCAGAAGATGGTAGGCCAGGGACCCGCACCTAACATTCTACAAAGGGGACACCCAGGGATTGAACTCCGGTCCTGCGGCGTTGGATGCCGAGTCAGAGTGGCTATGCCAGAGTTAAATGAACTGTGGGACATGTGGCAGATGTCACAGAGTTGTTCAGCATGGAGAAAACAAAGCTGTCACCTGCACACATTTTGGGTCTGTGAAGATAGAGGCCACAGTCGTTACTTTGATGAGGTGTAGAATAAACCAAAGGATGCAGGCCTCCGGGCATGTATGGGAAATCATCTTGATTCAGTCAGCGGATGGGAGAAGACACACCCACCACGGAGGAACCACTCCCTGGGCCTACATCCAGGTTGCATGTAACAAGAAAATTAGCTGGTCACCAGCATTATCCCTCTCCATTTCTTCATGGCTGGCATTGCCATGTGACCAGCTGCTTTGACCCCCTGCCATGACAGACAATGGACCTTTTCTCCCACAAGGTGCTATTGCCAGGCAATTATTAGCATAGCAATTGCAAATGAAGCTGTGGTGTTTGACATATGCTAGGTGGGGACACATCTACTGCCATCCACGTTATCGCCTTTAACCTCTTTTAATAGTGTTTTATTTATTTTTTGTCCCTCCTGCCTTTTCTTGTCAGCACACATACACAAAAATAGTTCTTGTTTTCAAGGTTCAAAGACACAGGATCAGCTCTAGTTCATTCCCTGTGTAAATATTAACTAGCTCTCCACGTGTGTATTTGTCTCTGCATTCTGGCATACATTACCCTCTGTGGTCCTAGAAAACAACAGTCAATCCTGTTATTTTCTGGGAAAAATAGCAGCATAATAAAAGCTTCCAGTATAATAAGTATGCAACAAAGGACGGCCGAATCTGACGCACCTCTTTTTATTATTCAGAGGGAAATAAACTGTGGAAAGGATTGGGTAGTTCAGGAGTTCATTGGCAATGCAGAGTACGTACAGCCAGTAAAGTACAAAGAGGAAAAAGAAAATCCTCCCCAGCTCTCCCTCACACAGGGTAATTAAGGGAGTATCCGAAGCCTGGACTGTCTAGACGACCAGCATGCTGATGAGGGAGGGGCATTAGCTGGCTTCCATCTTGTCCCTCATTAGGAAAGAGGAGCACATAGGTCCTGAGTGGCCTCTGCTTCCTTCTCATGCCTATCAAGGAAGGTCAGTAAGGCCCAGGTCCAGGCCACTGTCACCATCTCTTGTCACCATTAGTGTGGCCTCGCCTCTGGAGCAAACAGGTCTTTACAATTTGTGCCTATGGCAGACTTTGAACCACAGTTACAGTATATAGCTCAGGGGACCGGAATTGAATGCATCTACTTGCTCACAAGGCCTCTCTGGGCTTTGGAAAGTCAGATATCCCAGAGTCTATCATCAGGGAAACATGTAATTGTGGATGATGGCAGGGTCCGTTTCCGTGGGCCGTCTACCATACCAGAATAACACTTTTTTTTTAAAAAAAAAAGAAAGGCTACTGTCTTTGTTAGTATTGACTGAAATCCTGACAAATTCTAGAATCATGCAGGAGCCAAGCTTCTGGCCATGCCTGTTAGTTTGAGTGGGAACCTACCTTAAAAGATGGTGGCACTATTCCCCAAGCTAGGGTCCTATACTGCATGAAAGGGAAAAACAAGGTGACCACCAACATTGTCCCTCTATTCTTCCTGACAGTAGGGACAATTGGGAGCAGCCACTACAGGTGCGGTGAGATCCTCAGACTGTGAGCCTAAACCCGTCCCCTTCAATAGGTCTTACATAGGAAAATGACTAGTAAGAAATGGCCTGGGTAATTCCAAACAGTTTGAGAAGAATTTTTAAAATCCAGTTCTTCTCACTTTTATTAAAAGACTAAAAAGGATTATTTTCTCTTACCGACAGATGTCGTTTTCAGCTTCCTCTAATCCAAACTGGTGGTCAAAGGCCAGTTGTATCCGTGTTTTCTCCTTCGAGTGGAGCCTCCATGTGAGGAGCAGGTTTCGGGGGTAGCTGCCGGGGAATCGAGGACTCTGCACGTGACCATTGCCTGTCACCTGGATGTTCTCATCTCTCCGGTACAAGTCTGTGAGGTGATTGCTCTCTGTTAGTAGTCACAACTTGTAGAAATTAGTATGTTGCTCCAATTACAGGAAAGCAAAAACAACAACAAAAGGAACAATTTACAACATGACATTTCAAAGCACTTCTTCATTTTGTTTACAGACATAAGATCAAGTGGTAGATTTGGGTCAACAAAAAGAACCTGTTTCTATTTTGTCTGCTTTCCTAAACTCCTTACAGCTGCCAGTGCCCAATACTTTGTAACCCAATTATCTCAGTCCTCAGATTCATTTAGATTGGAATCAAATGAGAGAATAACTTCAGACATTTCATCTTTTGTATTTACTATGTTAAACAAATAAAATTATTAACTTGATTTTAACAGCATTTCTAGTGACAACAGTATTCAATAAATAATGATGAATGAGTGAGTGAGAAAAGACAAATGAACAGATTCTAATACTACCCAGGGAAATGAATAAATAAAAGGCTTTACGTGGGTTTTTCTCCATAAACCACAGAAATTCCTCTTTCTGGCTTTCTATGATTTCAATATCTTTAATCTGTGTTGTAATTTCTGAATGTTTTATAATAACAACGTTGTCTTTGGTTCCTGGGAATCGGCTCTAAATCCTTGAAATTCTCAAGTGGTTAGGAGGTTAGGAGTATGCTTGTTTTCATGATGGGACCCTGGGACTGCATCTAAGTTTATGCTCATGGAGAAACCGACTATGGGTCCTTATACAGTTTCAGGTTGGACACCAGAAAGACTACATGGGTACAGAGGTCAATCAGACTAGACTTGCCAAAGCCTAAGGGTGGCAGTGGGCTGCATATCCACCCTACATCATCCCTGCTTCAGTAAATCATGCCTGGATGAGATCACAGTGAAATCTCTGAACATTCTCGTAAGCTTTCTGTTTGTGATACCACTTCACAGGAGGTGACATAACCCAGGGACACTTGGAGTCTCCCAGGACTTACCCTCCCAATTTTGGTGTTTCAGTATCCTGAGTTACTGACGGGCTATGGACAGGGACTCTTGCATCAATAGCCCACTGGTGGGCAGGGGAGCTATCTTGGGATTTGCATAAGCGTCTGAAGTGAGGGTAGTTTTGTGGGCCTGTACATTTACTCTGTGAAATAACTAGAGTGGATATCAGAATTGCAAGCTGCATGGAATGTTTCAGGATCCAGAATTCTTGGCATTCTTAGGGTTTCTGAATACCATAATAAACAGACTTCCAACCACAGTCTATTTGTATCATCCCACAAAGAGTTGCCTTGAGGCCTATAATTAAAGTGATCCTGGCAGGGGGATGGGGGGAGGAAAAGGCCTAAAAGGTGGGGCTGCTGAAGCCAGCTATAAAAACTTCTAAAATGAGAGAGGATGCTAGGCAGGCACCCCTCTGTGCTAATGCAAATGGAGACTTTCTTTGGAACTCACTGGCTGGTTAATGCAGTGCTGCTTGCTCAGTCAGACCTAAGGAGGAGAGACTCATTCCAGAGAGGAACAGTGTGGCAACTGAGGAAGCTGAGGTCCCCTCCCTGGACCTGGATGACAGCACTAGCTCTGAAACAGACATGCTCAAAGAGCTGAGAAACATTGTTTCAGAGAGCTAGAAACATTTACCAGATGACCTTCTTCTTTTCACTGGTGACCTTATACTGAAAATCACTGGCTCTCTCATTTTATCCTGAGGAAATCTTACAAAACCCAAGCAAATACTGCTTCCTGGGCTGGCTGACGTGTGCTCTCAACCAACTAGCCATTATTTAAATACAGACGAACAGTCACATACCACATTGTCTTCAAGCCTCCTATTATTTGAGCAGTATGTGCTACATAGTACAACTGTGTAGTGATACAATTGCTGTGCTGTTTTCTTAGATTTAGTATTATGGATGACTTAATCTTTCTAAGTGAAATTTATACTTAATAAACAATAAACTTACTCTAAAATACAAACTTATATCAATAATGTCAGAAGGAAGCATATATCTCAAAGGGCTACTAAATTCTAAAACATTTATCTCAGGACTTCAGATTCCTCATTTACATACTAAAAGGTTTGGGGACTGTAGGGAAAGGGAGCCAGCCAAAGAAACACACCCTGTGCAGAACCAAAGAAACACACTTTGGCCCTGAAACCAGCACCAAAGAAACACACTTTGTCCCTGGAATCAGCTAGTGAAAGAAATACAGCCTGGCCCTAAAATTAGAGCCAAAAGGCTAAAAAGGACCAGTGAAAGAAACACACTTTGGCCCTGAAACCAGAGCCAAATCTGACCCTAACCCTATGCAGAAAACTAACCAATCCCTGAGAAGATATAGCTGTCCTAAACCCAGGGATTGAAATCTGACCAATCCCCACCCGGGAAAACTCTGCCCTCTAAGAAGCCCTATGTAACAGCTTGTGGCTGTTCATACCGCCCAGATTCTTCCCTCCCAATAAATCTCTTGAATGAGGTTTGGGTGAAGATCTTTTGCAGCAGAGCAGAGACGACCTTGAGCAGGGCAGAGCAGACCCTAGGTAGAGCAGAGCGGAACAGGGCTGTAACACTTTTCTCTGGGGAAACCTTCCCTGGCAAAGGGAAGTCGTTACACTCCTTTCTCCAGGGGTCTGGAGCAGAACCGTAACAACTTTGCCAGGAAATCCTCTCCTGCAGGAGTAGAACTGATAAACTGGGGAAGCCTCTCCCTGAAGCAAGACTGTAAGCTGCTATGCTTACTGTGACCTGTGGTATTGCCTGGCTCCTGAGTGCCAGAATACCTTTCTATCAAAGCTGTGACACTCAGTATTCTGTGACTCCCAAGTGCCAGAATGCCTTTCCATCTGAGCTGTAACACTCAGTATTCTTTGGCTCCCAGTGCCATAATCCATCCCTGTCCATACCATCTGATCTGTCGAAGTGCTTACAGGGACAAGTTTCTGTTTGGTCTTTTTCAGGGTAATATCCAGTGGTGATGCACATGATTGTGTGCATTATATTTCCTGTTCCAGATGATATGCTAGATTTGGATATAATTGGAAGACACTTAAAGAACAGATTCCAGTTTCCTACATGCAAAACAATGTGGATTCTTGTCACACAGTGTAAACAAAGCCCAAAGGAATGCCAAGAGGCAAGTATAAACCCTAAGGGAACTGGTTTTCTGAGGTCTTGTGAACTGGGGGTACTGAATGTAAGATGTGGACTTGGGATGAGAGTGGAGGCCTTGTCTATCACAGTTCAGCTGGACTTTTGGTATACAGGCCTTAAAGATGGTTTTGGAAACACCTAAAAGACACACTGAAGTGTCTGCACTTGATATTGTAGGGGAAAGGGACCAACCAAAGAAACACACTCTGAGAAGAGCCAAAGAAACATGCTTTGGCTCTGCAACAAGAACCAAAGTGATGCGCCCTAACCCTGAAACCAGTGGCAAAGAAACACACTTTGTCCCTGGAATCAGAGCCAGTGAAGGAAATGCACCCTGGCCCTAAAACTAGAGCCAAAAGGCAAAAAAACACACTTTGGCCCTGAAACCAGAGCCAAATCTGACCCTAACCCTGTGCAGAAAACTAAAGTAACCAATCCTTGAGCAGGAGCTCTAGCCAATCTGAGCTCAGCATTGAAATCTGCCCAATCCCCACCCTGTAAGCCCTATATAAACCCTGTGTCTGTTCAGCTTGTGACTGTTCACGCTACTCAGCTGTCCTCTGCCACTGTGGCAGAGGGCAGCCACTCTCCTGGATTCTTCCCTCCCAATAAACCCCTTCGATGAGCATAGGGTGAAGATCTTCTTTTGCAGCACAAGAGGCAACCCTGGGCAGAGCAGAGCAGAGCAAGCAGGGCTGTAACACTTTTGCTGGTGAAACCTTCCCCTGGCAGAGCCGACTTGTTACACTCAGCTCTCCACTGCTGGGAGTAGAGCTGAATTGTAGCAACTTCACCCAGGAAACCTCCTTCCTGAGCAAATCTGCTACACTGGGCAAACATCCCCAGCTGGAAGATACACTGGGGAAGCCTTTCCCTGAGGCAGGGCTGTAAGCTGCTACGCTTACTATGGCCTGTGGTAGTCCTTGGCTCCCGAGCTCCAGGACACCTTTCCATCTGAGCTGTGTAACACTCAGTATTCTGTGACTCCCGAGTGCCAGGATACCTGTCCCACCCGATCCGTCCCAAATACTTACTGGAAAGCTCTGGGATGAACACGTAGCTTGGCAAACAGAAGACCAACCCACTGCTAGTACCCAAGACAAATGGCAAAAGAGTGCCACTGAGGAACCATCTCCCTGGAGGAAACTGCTACAAAGGTTCTCACGCATAGGTGCAGGTGGCAGTGAACCGCAGTGTCACAAGGGACAGGTAGGAAAGCACAGAATTCAAAGGTAGGGCCAGAGGCTGCAATGGCATGGGAAGACCAGACATTGGTCACAGGCCTAGCAGGGTGTTTTGCATTCTTACTTGCTGCTGTGATAAAATGTCCTGACAAAAGAAACTCAAGGGACAAATGGACTATTTGGCTCCCAGTTCCAGCTTATAGTCCATTATTGCTGAAAAGCCCAAATAATAGGAGCTTGGAGCAGGTGGTCCTATCAGATCAACAATCGAGAGCAGAGAGGGATCCATCACAGACACGTGTGTCACCCATCCAGACAGCTCCTTACAGGTGTGCCTGAGTCCTGCCTCCACGCAGGGTGTGTGTGACACCAGGGGCCTGCAAGGAAACTTTTTCTGAAGACATGCAAGCCCAGTGTGATGCAGTGATGAGGAACTCAAGCGGGAATGCTGCTTGGCTTGGAGATGGGCGGCTTGGAGATAGGTGGATTGGAGATGGGTGGCTTGGAGATAGGCGGCTTGGAGATAGGCGGCTGGGCCTCGATGAATGAGCAGAGTAGCTGTGAGGTCTGGAGCTCCCAGAGGAAGGAGTGTGGGACCCTGAGCCCCCAGAGCAAAGTGTGGTGACATCCACCTTACAATCCCAAGGAGGACGGCCAAGGGTGAGTGGATCAGGTGACAACAGTCATGCTTGGGGAAACCAGGCCTGTCCTC